TTTCAGGACAGTGTATGAAGAAACCAATTCAGGATTTTAAAAAAATTATATGTGCAGGAAATCTCTAAAGCACAGTTTGCTCTTAATTTCTCTTGGAATCTCCCAGAAATGACTTAAAAGCCTGAGAGAACACTTACCATGTAGTGTAAAGTGTTAAGTTCTCACAGGAAGGTCACATATGACGTCTAAGAACTCAAACCTGGGTTAGCTTTGACCCCAATTGTAATAAAAAGCTCTAAATACCTGTGTGTGCGCATACCCATGGACATGCACCCCTAAATTAGGCAAGTCAGGAAAAGAGTGGGAGCCAAAGGAATATGTAAAGCATGGTTTAAAAGTGAGGCTCAAAAATTGATAAGATCAAAGTTCCTTTCAAACATCCTATGTAATATAGAGCTAATATGCAAATGGTCATCACACCCTTGTGCCCTCGTGCCGGAGGACCTGAGGCCGCACCCTCCGCCCAGGCGCTGGGGCTGGGGGACCTGATGCCATGCCCCCCCACCCAGGCACCAGGGCCGGGGGACCTGAGGCCACACCACCCACCCTAGTGCCGGGGCCGGGGGACTGGCTGGATCTGGGTTTCGTGTGATTTCGAGGAGCATGCAGGTGGGCAGGGACTTGACTCTGGGTCCCGCAGCATGCCCCAGACTCTGACAGGAGGGAGATTTTCATATACATTTTACTAATTTTCTTTCATCTTTGACACTTCTATTATAGAGAAAGGGCAAATAGCAATATTAAAATATTTCCTCTAATTAAGTCCCTTTTAATGTGCACGAATTTCATGCACCGGGCCACGAGTAGAATATAAAAGTGAAAGGGCATCTGAAATTATCAAATGCAAACTCTGCTTAATAGAAGAGAAGACTGAGGTCCAGAATGGTAGATGGCCCCACAGTGATTCTTCAGCCATATGGGATCTGTGCTTCCCACAGCCATCGCAGTTGCACATCTGAACAGGCATCCTCAAATATTTCCTTTCTTGGTGAACTAGTCTATATATGCCAAACACATTGCTGAATTAGCCCTTAAAATATTCCTCTCCACTTTTTTTAAAAAAATAAGTTTTGCAGCTTCTTTTAAAAAAAACACATATTTTTATTGATTTCAGAGAGGAAGGAAGAGGGAGAGATAGAAACATCAATGATAAGAGAGAATCATAGATTGGCTGCCTCCTGCAAGCCCCACACTGGGGATACATCCCGCAACCTGGGCAAATGCCCTGACCAGGAATCGAACCGTGACTTCCTGGTTCATAGGTTGATGCTCAACCACTGAGCCATGCAGGCTGGGCTCCTCTCCACTTCTTAGATTCAGGGTGTGCATGAAATTTTAGAGGTTATTCAGTTTATTTCCCTATACTCAGCAGAACTAAGTTCCATAAATATGATAGATACCTATTTTCCTTGTTGGTTTTAAGGTCTATATAGAAGATGAGTTCTCAATTAGTTTTATATGGCCAATATTTATTATTTCAAAATGATGTTGGAATACCTATAATGGGTAACTCACTATGTCATGTTGAATGGGAAATACATTAATTAATTTGTACATGGATCTTGCTCTCAAGATGCCCAATGACTAGTAAAAAAGATGAGGCATGTATGAAAATAATTATAATATGAGAAGTCAAGGGCCAGGAATTAGAGTAGAAAAGATGACGTCACTATTCCTAGCTGGGGGATGAATACAGTGACTTAAAGGCAACTAACTCTGAGATTGGATTAAGGTAAATGGAGAAGTATGGGCATTCCAATCTATAGATCATGCAATAAAAAACAAGGCAGGAGGAAAAATATAAGGAAAAAATGCAAGTAGTTCAGGTTTGCTAAAGAGAGCATACAAGTTGGAAACTTTGTAGGTACAAAACTAGTAAGGTGGATGTAATCCAGAGCGTGTAAGATCTCTGGACCTAAAAGAAAAGGTCCTTTCCCCCCTTCATCCTGTCGTCCCTATGAAATCATTCAATTATCTATTTTACAAAATTTTGAAGCAACGCTTAAGTAATGGGCACCAAGGAAAGGCACTGGTGATGCAAATTTCAGAAAAACATGATTTTTACCTTCATGGTGTTCAGTCTCCAATGTGAACGACAGATAAGTGGTCAGTGATTACTGTACGACAATGTGAGAAACGTCATGAGAGTTTGCACAGGGTCACATGGGAGTATGTAAGAAAGACGAACTTAAAGTCAGATTTCTAAGAGAATAACAATAGTTATCTAAAGTAGAAGAGGGGATGTTGGGTATTCAGGTAAAGACAAACGCATGTTAAAAACACCTGAAGATGTGAGAAAGTAAAAAGTGTTCAGAATAAAAGCTCAATTTTAACCCAAAGCCATAAGAAATGACGAAATTATGACAATGTTCAAAATTATGCTTCAAGAAAATAAATCTGGCAGCTGCACATAGAAAAAAAAATTAGAAATTGGAAGCAACTACAAAATGCTTTCCTCCAGAGCCTAGAAACATGGTAGAGAGGACCCAACTGGCCCAGCTCAAGTGGGAAGATCATGCGACAGGATTTATTCAGTTACACAAACCACAAACTTCCAGACAAAGGAAATGTCCTGCACCTCATGTTTTATTTTTTAAAATATACATATTTTTTACTGATTTCAGAAAGGAGAGGGAGAGAGAGAGATAGAAATATCAATGAGGAGAGAGAATCATTGATTGGCTGCCTCCTTCACTCCCCACACTGGGGATCAAGCCCACAACCGAGGCATGTGCCCTGACGAGGAATCGAGCCATAACCTCCTGGTTCATAGGTCAACGCTAAACCATTGAGCCAAGCCAACTGGCCCACACATCACATTTTAGAATGGATCAACCCAAACTGGAAACTAGGAAGAAAAAGCAGATATGGCAGGAAATCTAGTGGGGGGAACACCTTTAAGCAGTAGCCAGAGAGCAGACCCTAGAGCAGCGGTTCTCAACCTGTGGGTCGCCAACCTGTGGTTGCGACCCCTTTGGGGGTCGAACGACCCTTTCACAGGGGTTGCCTAAGACCATCAGAAAACACATATATAATTACATATTGTTTTTGTGATTAATCACTATGCTTTAATTATGTTCAATTTGTAACTATGAAAATACATCCTGCATATCAAATATTTACATTATGATTCGTAACAGTAGCAAAATTACAGTTATGAAGTAGCAATAAAAATAATTTTATGGTTGGGGAACCACCACAACATGAGGAACTGTATTAAAGGGTCGCGGCATTAGGAAGGTTGAGAACCACTGGTGTAGAGAGAGAAAGAAGGCAAACCTGGACTAAAAAGGCACTTCACAAAAACAGGAGAAAGAAAGGCTTAGGCACCACGGGCAGTGAGAGGACATTCAGAAAGCCGTGTGGTGACCAAGACCAAGGCTGTCCCTCAAATAAAGGAGATTCAGTGGAGGATGGAGAAGCCAAATTACCAGATATGAAGAATTACTGGATTGTGAAAGCAGATTATTCTTGGGAACTCTCAAGAAATTTAACAGGGAGGAAGGAGGAAAAGAGAGAGGCTGTTAATCTGAGAAGCAAGATGGGAAATTTTTTTATTTGTAAAAAAGACTTGAAAAAGCTTGTAGTAACAAAAAAAGAATTCAAAAGATAGGGGGGATTTAATAATCTTTATTGGCAGGAGGTTCACATTTCTAACCTAACTCTACAGTTCCATTCATTTCCTACTGCGCTGTTTTAAAGATCAAGAGCTTCAATTTGCCTTCCTCTAATGGTGAAGACCTTCCTATGCTGGGGCCTATTATTCAACCCCTGCTCAGTCTTCACTTCTGGGTGAAAATACGAATTCATTAGTTCTTTCTTGAGAGTTTCATTTTCCAAACTTTTAATCACCTCCATGGCTTTTCCTTTGTGCTCTTTCCTACATCTTACAAAGTCATCTTTGGAAAAAAGTCCACAAGAGGATCTAACAATTTAATAAGGACGAAGCCTAAATTTAGTCTTTTATTTTTTTTAAATATATTTTATTGATTTTTTACAGAGAGGATGGGAGAGGGATAGAAGTTAGAAACATCAATCAGCTGCCTCCTGCACAACCCCTACTGAGGATGTGCCCACAACCAAGGTACATGCCCTGGACCAGAATCAAACCTGGGACTCTTCAGTCTGCAGGCTGATGCTCTATCCTCTGAGCCAAACCAGTTAGGGCTAAATTTAGTCTTTATAAGGTGGGTATATGATGATCCCTCTAAGCCAGTGCTTTGCAAACTCACTTTGTGTGGCTGTTTTATTTTCAAAGCAGAGGGACCATTTCTTGTAACTAAGTCATCTGCAAGATAAAAGGGGCTGCTCTGCATAGAGAGAGTAAGCAAAATAGAGCTTCAGCCATTGAGCATTCCTCCTCGCCATGCTGTAGAAGCCGCTGGTATCACTCCATGCAGTTCCCCCAACTCCACACCCTCCTAACCACTCCCCAGTCAGGATCTGAAAACCCTTGTTTTATAGCACTTGCTGATTTATATGGTCAGGTGTTATAGTCATTGGTTAAGGGATAGTATAATAGTGCTGAATACAGGCTGTGTTCTGTTTATTAGTTTATTCGTTTCTTTCTCACAAAACACCTGTGCAAGTTATCGTTCTTTTATAAGATAAAAAAAAAAATTGCCTTTACCACTACATAATCTGTAGATCTTCCCTGAAACCTTTTCCTACTTAAAATGTTACCAAGACTTCTGGCCACATAATCGGAGACATTAGCTACCTCTTTTCTGAACAGCTTCATGACAGCTACGAACCCAATGATGTTCAAACACTGTTTTGAAGCCAGGACAATGATGAGCATAGAAATGGGTAGCATGGACCCAAACACTTTGTGCTGCAAAGAAAGTATTTCTTCTTTTTCCCTCCCAAGTAAAGTCAAAATCGATAAAAATTCCTCCTCTACTAAATGTCCTGGAAGCACTGACCTACACAATGTATAATCTATAGAAAGGGACAGAAAAGAATCATAAGAAGTGCATTTGTTCACCTCGCTTACTCACCTAATAAATTTAACAGCCAGACCCAGGTCGGCTATACAGCAAGTGCCATTTTTCTTCACCAGGATGTTCTTACTTTTCAGGTCTCGATGGGCGATTGCTGGCTTGCCTTGGGTACTAAAGATCTCGGTGTGTAAATGACATAAGCCACTGACGGAAGAATAGGCTAATTTCAGCATCGATTTAACATCCAGGGTGGTGGACTTCAAGTAATCATAGAGGGAACCGTTTTCATGATAGTCTGTGATTAGGTACAACTGGGTCCAGGACCCTGTCCCTTTGATATCGGCGGCAATGAACCCTAAAGAAAAGAAGACAAAAAGATTTGGAGCTAAGTGTTTTCTGGATATCATCAGGAATAATTCATATTCTCAACTACCATGCTTTGTCATAGGTGTTTTTTGTTTAGCATTTCATTCAGTTTTCTGACTATGCCCCTCACAGTATGAACTTACTAATATCAATCAAAACAAGAGGGGTAGAGAACAATTAAGTGTTTGTATCTGAAAACATGACCTCTTTTTAATCAGCTGCGGATATTTAAATGCTTTCCAATTAACAGTATACAGCTCCTGGTATTATAGTCATACACAAGACACTGCTTATAAAACAGGAACCCCAGTCAAAGCACACACTTCAGATCAACTTACACCCTTTGCAGTTGAATGATCCAACTAGCCCAGTGGTCAGCAAACCGCGGCTCGAAAACCCCTTGAGTGTGGCTCTTCCACAAAATACCACGTGCGCTCGCGCACATACAGTGCACGATTAAAACTTCGTGGCCCATGCACAGAAGTCGGTTTTCGGAAAGGAGATACACGAAACAAGTATACAAGACGAGTGTGGATGGGAGAGTTGGAAGGAGTCGATCTCAGCGAACGTACCTCAATCAGATTGAGGACGTTTCTGGCAAAGGCCAGCTTAGGAGTACCCTAATTAAGTTAATAACAATGTACCTACCTATATAGTTTAAGTTTTAAAAATTTGGCTCTCAAAAGAAATTTCAATTGTTGTACTGTTGATATTTGGCTCTGTTGACTAATGAGTTTGCCGACCACTGAACTAGGTCATTTCTAACTTGAGAAATAAAAAGGAATCAATTATCTGTATCAACTCTGGATATAATAAGCCAGAGTTTTATTATAAACTCAGATAAAATTCTTACAGATAAAATTTTATCTGCAGATAAAATTCTTACAACTTTCCACAACATTTAAACAAAAAATTTGCTCCTTTAAAACCCTCAACAACCTGAAGAAATGCCCATATTGTATTTGCATTTCCTGGAGAGGACTCCATGTCCATCCCACCGCTCATTCACAGAAGTGCCTTAGTCATGCCTCCTGTGAGGTCTCCCCTTGGAAGCTTACAATGTCCCTGGGCTCACGCCAAGAAGAAAATGTCTATATATTTCAGAATGGGTCAAGACAGATGAGTTCATATGCAGATGTTAACAGAAAAATAGAGAAAAGCTAGAAAAACCTGAACCGCGCTGTATACTCACCCAAAATGTTTTCATGCCTCATCAACACCGTCTGATAAATCTCTGTCTCGCGGAACCAGCTGGCCTCCTCGGTGGTGAAGAACACTTTCACGGCCACCTTTTCGCCACGCCACTTTCCCATCCAAACTTCCCCGTAGCGACCCTTCCCAATCTGTTTCACCATCTGAATCTGCTTAGCGATAGTCCTTTGGACCTGTTAGATCCCAAAACACACTGTTAGTATATTCATAGCACTACAGATTTGTTTAATCTTTTTTCCCCTCCAGAGAAGAAACAATTACTGCATCTAAAATAGAGTTAGCCAGTTTAGCAAATGTTTCTGGTCTTTCTCTACCTAAACTTTCATTCTATACTTCATTCTCAGATATCTCTTTTAAGGCTTGATTGTATAAATAAAATGCCTGTAAGATACAATCACTACAATTGTGAGTCCAAAAGAAAAAAAAGAATTATTTTATGTAAAATGGGTACACCTGCTTTTATGATAAAGGAGTTACCACTCTTTCAGAAATATAAACACTGAAAAACATACAGCTGTACATAATGCTCTGTACTCTCTAACATGTCCCTGAATAAGCAACACACACACACACACACACACCCTACACACAAATATACAGTTTAGAATACTTTGCTTAACAAGGCTGGGTTAATAATACATACTGAAAAGATTTTTTTGTTATTGCTAATCCTCACTCGAGGATGTTTTTCCACTGAGTTTTAGAGAGAATGGAAGGGAGGAAGGAGGGAGGGGGAGAGAGAAACATCAATATGAGAGAAATGCATCAATTAATTGCCTTCCCCACAAGCCCCAACTGGATCAAATCTGCAACCCAGGTACATGCCCTTGACTGGAAATCCAACCCCAGATCCTTTGGGCCAATGCTCTAATCACTGGGTCATGCTGGCCAAGGCTAGAAAGATTTTTCACAAAAGATTCTTCACTTAAGAGACTTAATGTTCAATTAGAGAATTTACTTCACTTTCTTTACCATTATAGGGTCAGATAAATAGGTTATAAATAAAAAATGTTACCATTTATTGAATATATACTATGTATTCAATACATGCATATATGAATATATATAGTGGGAAGACACAAACTTTTTTAAAAACACATTTTTATTGATTTCAGAAAGGAAGGGAGAGGGATAGAGGAACTTCAGGATGAGAGAGAATCATTGATCGGTTGCCTCCTACAGGTGCCCTGACTGGGACTTGAACTATGACCTCCCGGTTCATAGGTCAACACTCAATTACTGAACCACGCCAGCCAGGCATAAACTATCTTAATTGTTACACTACCCTAAGATATTCCTTCCTTAAAAATTGATACATAAAGATATTTGACAAAAAGATATATAAGGCATGAATTTTCCCCTTATGTTAAAATATATAACAAATTAGTATCAAGGTGAGATACATACTTTTGCACACTTTGCATTGTTTTAAAACAAGATCTTAAATCTGTAATACTGATATTTTTCCTTCACTAGTTTTATAGGATCCTCTTCCCAGCCTGCCCCTATCCAATGCCTTCCTTTGTTTTATTTAACTTACATTTGGTTCACTTCTCACAAACATCAAGAACACACATTCCAGCCCTAGCCAGCTTGGCTCAGTGGATAGAGCGTTGGCCTGGGGACTGAAAGGTCCCGGGTTCTATTCTGGTCAAGGGCATATACCCTGGTTGCAGGCTCAATCCCCAGTAGGGGGTGTGCAGGAGGCAGCCAATCAATGATTATCTCTTATCATTGATGTTTCTATCTCTCTTTCCCTCTCCCTTCCTCTCTGAAATCAATAAAAATATTTTAAAAAACTACAAAAAAAAAAGAAAGAACAGATTCCAGAGGCAGATCATCTGAGTCTGAATCCTGGCTTCTCCACATACTAGCTAGTGGACCTATCTAGGCCTGTTCCCCTGGTGTGTAATGCAGGGATATAGTTTGAGAACTACCTCACAGGGTTGCTATAAGGATTAAATGAGATCAAATCTATAAAGGCCAGTATCTGGCCAGGATTCAAACCCTGGCAATCTGGCTGTTCTTAATTATTTTTTGATATAAGCCAAATGCTACTTTTCTGTATCTAGATTGTAGAAATAGGATAGTATTTTCAAGGACATTAAAAGTTGGAGTTGAAAGCTTTTAAAACAAATTATTGAACAGCCCCTTTAATCAAATGGGGAGATACAAAGTGAACAAAGGATAGTCTCCACCCCTGAAGAAGTGAGAGCCCACCTAGACATAGACATATGAACATCAATTTAACAGTATTTTAATCTGCTATACTGACACTATAAGTAAAATGTTATGACAGAGGATTAATAGATTGGCTCAGTTTGGTTAAGTTGTCACAGAGATAAAATGTGAGGTAGGACAGGAGCCAGAAGTCTGAAGAGCTCCCCATAAAGTTATTGTTTCATTCCATGTCGTTTCATTAAAATCTTGGAGAGATGCTGTAGGGACTTAACTCTTGTCTATGTCAATTAGCCTAAGGTAAAATTGGTTTTGTTATGTCATTTCAGAACCCACTGACGACGTCAAATGAGGACTTACTGCGTTTGAGAAACCATTACTCAAGGCTGATGCTAGGGCTCGGGGAGCAGGTAGAGAAGAGGTAGAAGATGATGTATGCCATGCAGACCAGGCTAATGTAGAAGACCCATAAATGCTATTGGACATTAGAATGTTTTATCCAGGGAAGTAACATAGTAAGGTCAAAGACTTCAGAGAGATAGCTCCATAGTAATGAGAAAGATGGGTTAGAAGGAGGAAAACAAATAGTTTTCAAGTCCAAGAGCATCAGTATCTGATTCATTAATACCAAAAGGGATTTAAATATTTGTACTTGTCTTTTAAAAATGTATATCTTAAATATAAGAACTATATTTGATATATATTAATTCCAAAATAAAAATCAAGCAATTTGATAAGGATTTTTACATAAGAAAAATGTACATCCTCAGTAGCATCAGTTTGGTCATAATGACTACTTCACAAATGGTTTTCTGTCTGGTTTATTACCTTCAGGGGAGGTATTAGTCAACAAGTAGAGTATCAGTTATGCAAGATGAATAAGTCCCACAGGTCTTCAGTGCCTACAGTTAACAGTAGTGTACTGTATTCTAAAATTTGCTAAGAGAGTAAATCTTATATCAAGTGTTATCATAAAATAATGTTAGTAAACAAAGAGGGCATGAGGAAACTTTTGGAGCTGATGGGTATGTGTATGGCATAGATTATGGTGATGTTTCAGGTATATATTCATCTCCAAACTCTTCAAGTTGTATTCATTAAATATAAACAGCTTTTTGTATATCCAAAAATAATGTTAGAAGATAAATGCTTGCCTTGAGATTTTTTTTTAATGTTACTTTTAATACTAAATAAAAAATGGCCTAAGGAATAAAGTAAACAAGATATCCAAATCCAGACCCAGACAACAAAGATTAGAAAAAATCAATCGTAAGAGTTTATAAAGGAAAATATTTCTCATTAAAATTGTTATTTCCAACCCGAGTCCCAACAACCTTTTTCTGGCCTGGTCCATAAAGGAACAGAATGTTTTTCTCATTAAGGGAAGTGCCTTGGACTCGGTATATATTTTCTTCCAGGTTGGCAGTGTGGAGCATCAGAAAATTAAACCTCTCCTGGATGGAAAAGCCAGGACTTCACCCTGAAACATAAACCCTCCGGCTGAAACGCAGCCTTCTTCCCTTGTAAAAGTACTCAGATCCCCGCTGGTTGTAATCCTTTCGCCTTCAAAAGCCAGGCCAAAGTGCAGTCATACTATCCTGACTGAAAACAGAGGGAAGATGGCCCCATGTTTCATGTTCTCTAATCTGCTCTTTATCAGAATGTCTGAGGGTCTGGATTGTAACCATACACTGACATTAAAAAACAATCACCTTACCCCCAATATGTCAAAATGTTATCAGGAAGCCCTGCATCTGAGATCTGATATCTAACGGATTGCACAGAACGTCCTCTTTGTGCTGCCCTATCTGTTTCAGTAAAATGAAACCCTGTATTTACTGACATTTCCTCTCAGAAAACATTCCTTTAAACTCAATATGCCCTTCTCCTACCAGCAGAGGGAGGCCTGACCCACTTCCTGAGCTCTGAGACTGCTCAATTAAGTCTTTCAGGGATTCGCCTGGAGGAATGTAAGTTTCATCCTGTTCCAACCCAATGCTGTACCGAGGTCGGGCTTCTTGTCTTTTATACCTAAAGATGCACAGAGGAACATCATTTTAGACACTGAGTTGCAACGATACGGGCAAAACACTGCAGAGAAAACGTTAATCCTGGCAGGTTTTACTTTAGCACACAAAAACAATGCACGATTAAATGCTTGGTATTTATTTCCCTCAGTAATGATTTCCAAAACACAAATTACAATTATTTTCCTAACTGATTCTTTAAAGTAAACTACATGTTTTTACTCAGTCTTAACCATCTACAACTCTTCTCCATTCCTTTTGATTATTTCCCAACAGGCTATAGTCTGTTAATGTTTCTGTGTAGTTCCATTATATTCATGCCCTAAAGCCTTTCCCTATTTAAGGTCCCCCTAATTAATATAGATATAAATTTTTGGTTTGCAAAAGACATTATGGCTAACCTTACCTGTCATGTAAGGTAATATATAGACCAATAATACAGATAAGTAAATATAAGCTTTAAAAAATTTTTTATCAATGGTTAGAAATAAATTTATTTGAATCAACTCCCATTTGCAAAATTGTATCATAAATGAGTATTAAAAAAGGCAAGAGACATGAATTTAAAGGTCCTTGATATTACACCAACTACAAAATAAGTTTGTAGGTGACTAAAAGTTTTATAACCACCATAGTTAACTTTAATATAGTAACTAAACTTATTTAATGTGATTATCTAAAACAATCTTTAAAAATCTTTCAATACCAGAGAAATTGTTAACTCAGTAAATAAGTAATTACTAGAACAATATAAGTTCAACATGCTAATTTCTCTGCTTAGAATCAAACTCAGTAGCAACTAGTTCCTTAATTCCCTAACTGCCCTAATTTCCGTAGGGGTGAAATTTATCTGGGTGATTTTGATATCTGAAGTACAAATGAGATAGTATCTATTAATAGATTCATTAGGACAAATACTCATCAATAGTAACAATATTATCAATGAAATCTAAGATCTAATTAGGTTAAAGGAAGCTGGGGTGGCAGAGCCAAGGGTAGGATAGTAGGTTGACAAAGATAAACTCAAAATTCTATCTCTACAAGTTGGAAACTTACCTGAAGTAACAGAATAAAATGATAAGGACCAACAGGAAACTACAGACAGTCACAGATATAAGTAAGGCTTTGTGGTGTACAGATCCGTCAACAAAATCTGAAATTAAAAGAGAGTAAGTAGTATCATGATAAAGAGAGTATTTACACCTAAAAATTAGGAAGCAACTCTCTATACACACACACAGGATGTCCCAAAAAATGTATACACACTTTTTTCTGGTAGCTCAATTGCTGTTCCTTTCTTTTCAGATTTAACCCATTGGAATTAATAGTTATTCAAAGTGTGTATATATGTTTTGGGGGGTACACCATGTATATATATCCCAAATTAAATAGTTTCAATTAGCATGAATCATCATTCATCTGGCACTTAGTTCAAGAGCATGCTGGAAGAAATGTGCTTGACATCCTATATAATAAAAGGGTAATATGCAAATCGACTGAACAGTGGAACAACCAGTTGCTATGACATACACTGACCACCAGGGGGCAGGCACTCAATGCAGAAGCTGCCCCCTGGTGGTCAGTGCACTCTCACAGGGGGAGCACCGCTCAGCCACAAGCTGGGCTGACGGCTGGCAAGCTCAGAAGCCCACTTCTGCAGCAGCACTAAGGATGTCCAGCTGCAGCTTAGGCCCATTCCCCACAGGAAGCAGGAAGCAGGCCTAAGCCGACAGTCAGACATCCTCCAAGAGCTCCCGGACTACAAAATGGTGCAGGCCAGGCTGAGGGAATCCCTCCCCTCCGAGTACACGAATGTCGTGCAACTGGGCCTATAGTCTATCTATCCTAATAAAAGGGTAATATGCTAATTAGACTGGACATCTTCCGGACATCCTTCTTCACAAAGCCATGGTGGCGGGGACCAAGGCAGAGGCAGTTAGGAGCAATCAGGCCGGCAGGCAGAGCTGGTTAGGGGAGATCAGGCAGGCAGGCAGGTGAGTGGTTAGGAGCCAGCAGTCCCGGATTGTGAGAGGGATGTCCGACTGCCAGTTTATGCTAATTAGACTTGACATCTTCCGGACATCCTTCTGGACAAAGCCACGGTGGCGGGGGCTGAGGCAGAGGCAGAGGCAATTCCTGCAGGATCAGGCGTAAACCAGCATTTGGACATCCCCCGAGGGGTCCTGGATTGGAGAGGATGCTGGCCGGCCTGAAGGACCCCCCTCCCCCATGCACAAATTTCATGCACCAGGCCTCTAGTATATATATAAAAGCCTAAGCGGCCATTACGACTGAACAACCAGAATGACTGGTCAACCATTTGCTATGATGCAAACTGACCACCAGGGATAGATGCTCAACGCAGGAGCTGCCACCTGGTGGTCATTGCACTACCACAGCCAACCTCCCACGGCCCCTCCCACGAGCCAGCCGGCCCCCATTGGCTCCTGGTGCTAAACCATTTGTAGACAATCTGCTTCTGGGTTGGGGTTTTGTATGTGGCAGAGCAGCTCCCTTGCTGCGATCTATTGAAAGTCAGCCCTCAACACAAGGGTTTGTCTCGCTCCCATCCTCTCACTTCCCTGGGGGCCACCCACCCACTGCAGTGGTAGCACAGTGGCAAGGGAAGGAGCAGGGGGGAGAGGGGAACCGTGTGGTGGCAGGGCACCTCCAGCGGCCTTCAGTGTCCGTTCCTTCTGTGCCCGGCCCAGCAATCGTCGCCTCCTCTCCCGACCCCACCAGGGCCTTTGGGCTCTGGGCTGGGGCAGGGAACTGGGGGTAGGTAGGGCAGGCATGGCCCCTTTCCCAGGGCGGGCAAGGGTCAGCTCCCTCCTTGGGGCCAGCAGCCAACCTCCTCTGTCCCTTCCATCGGCCGACAGGCCTCAATCAGCCCAGCCCCAATCGGCCTGGCCCTGATCAGTCCTGACTGCCAGCCAAGCCTAAGGACCCCACCTGTGCACAAATTCGTACACCGGGCTTCTAGTAAGATATAAGTACAGAATATAAACAAATGAAATAAATGGATCAATGCCCCTAGAATATAATTAGGTAGTTCATCTTTATTTCAGATCCAGCTGATGGGTTTACAGGCTTTCCTCATGTGGTTTGTATCATGAATTTGTATTTTCAAAAATCTATATTCATTGTATATAAAACATAGTCATCTTCTGATGGACATAAAGGAATAGAATTCCTCAAATGTTCCCAAGTACAATATATGTGCATGCACCTCACTTTAAATAAAGATGCCCTTCAAAAATACATACATGAATTTTTCATTAAAAGAATGGGTATGGTCTACTCAAAGAATTACTGTGTGATCCTTTTAAAGAGAAAATTATTAAATACTAGAGGCCCAGTGCACAAATTCATGCACGGGTGGGGTCTGGCCAGCCTACCCTGCCCCTGATCGGGGTGTTGGGGGCTGGGCCAGCCGGGGAGGGGTGGTGATTGGGGCCTGGATCAGGCTGGTTGGCTGCCGCAGTGCGTGTCATAGCCACTGGTCGTTCTGGTCATTTGCCGTTCTGGTCGCTGGGTTTTTATATACATAGATTATTCATGTTGTTTTACCTCAGGTTCCTAACAAATTAGATTTATGTACAGTGTGATTTCTCAAACATCACAGAAATAAGAATGACTTGGACAACTTTATACAAATGCACATTAACTGACTTCAATGCCAGAGATTTTAATTCAAAGTATTTTTTTTATATTTTACTATAATTTTAAGTGATTTATATGCAGGTAATCTCGGGTACATATTTTGAGAAAATTGGCCTACAATCAGGTACACTTACATAGTAATAATATTAGCACCATTCTTATTAAGGGCATCATATATCCTTGAGAGTGTGGTTACTGTTATTGAATTTTAAATGGTAGTTTTGTAATTTATGACTTTGGTTACTACAGAGAAGAACTTTTCCAACTGTGCTGTATTCCTTTAACTGTATGGCTACCTAAACACTTAGGCTGGGGAACGTATACCACCCAATGCAACTTATTTTTCTCAATGAAAAGTATATGTTCCATGAAAAAAAAAATTACCACAAACTAAACAAAAATAAATTAAATTGCCATCACCTCACTGCTTAGGAAAATTACCACCAACATTTTATTTTATGCCTTTGCAGTATCATTTCAATGAACAAAAAAAGTTCATGAACAAAATATTTCACTAAAAGTTATTATATGCACCCATGTATTTGCAGTATCATTTCAATGAACAAAAAAGTTCATGAACAAAATATTTCACAAAAAGTTATTATATGCAACATTGTTAAGCTGATTAACATAATAGCTAAAACGTGGAAGAAATCAGAGTGTCCCCTGACAGATGAATATATAAGAAAAAATGTGGTTTATAAATACCTGGAACATTATTTAGCCTTAAAAAGGAGGGAAATTGTGACATGAGCTACAAGATGGACGAGTCTTGAGGACATTATGCTAAGTGAAATAACCCTGTCAGAAAGATAAATAATGCATGATTCCATTATATGAGGTGCATAGGGCAGTCAAATTTATAAAGAGGAAAAGTAGAATGGTGGGCTGCGGAATGGTGGAATTGGGAGAGTTAAGGTTTAATGGATGTAGAATTTCAGTTTTACAAAATGAAAAGAACTATGGAGATGGGTGGTGGTGATGGTTGTACAACATTATGAAGGTACTGAATACACAGCTGTGCACTTAAAGTGGTTAAGATGATAAATTTTATGTTATGTATTTTGCCACAATTATTAGTTTACCAAAATTATTAGTTCAAAAGATATATATTTTGTCCTTTTATACACATTGTCAAAATTTCCTAAAGCAAAGACTGCCACAGTTTCTATTTCCCCATCAATAGGAACATATTTTAATCACTTTGAAATAAAGTCTTAAAGAAAACCTGTAAGGATAAAGAATTCCAATATGCCCTTCACAGAGATTTCCAATCTAAAAAATGTTTACCATATTTACTTTATAATTCTCTTGTTCCCTTAGTGTGTGTGTTTGTGCCTATCTCTATATACACAGTTATATGCTGCATAATGACATTTCAATCAATGACTTCATACATGACAGATTATATAATCTTATCATAGTATAATGAAACTTAAATTCCTATCATCTAGTGTCACTGTAGGTGTCCTAACAGTGTGGTGTAACAAATTACAATAGCCTTTGTATTCAGTAGCGTAACACGCTATACAGGTTTGTAGCCTAGGAACAACAGACTATACCATGGAGCCTAGGTGTGCAGTAGGCTATACCATGTAGGTGTGTGTAAGTGCACTCTATGATGTTCCCACAATGATGAAATCACCTAATGACTCATTTCTCAGAATGCATCCCCATCATTAAGTGATGCATCGCTGGATATACTTGCATTCATGTTTATTTATTTATTTGCATGTGTTTATAATTGGAGAGTCATTTGAAGTTACAGACATAACATACCTACCCATAAACACTTCTGAGTGCCCTTCCTGGGAACAAGGACATTGTCTCACCAACTGGTAATCTAATTACCAAAATCAGGAAATGAACATGAACACGTAAGTTGAAAATCAAGCTTACTCTGAAATATTTCAGAGAGTTTAGATTATTTATAATCAATTAAAATCCACATATCTTTCTATTAATTTCTTTCCCTAATATTATAATGGTTAACATTACGATATACTCATTAGTCTAAAATATATGTTTAAAAATTAGTTATGAGCTATACTACTGGCCAAACATTACTGGAAATAGTCTGCATCTGAAAAGACTAAATGAGACACCATTAAAATAAGCAGTTTATGCTCAGCCAGTGTGGCTCAGTGGTTGAGCGTCAACCTATGAACCAGGAAGTCACAGTTTGATTCCCGGTCAGGGCATATGCCTGGGTTGCAGGCTTGATCCCCAGCGTGGGGCATGCAGGAGGAAGTCAATCAATGATTCTCTCTCATCGCTGATGTTTCTCTCTCTCTCCTCCTCCTCTCCCTTTCTCTCTGAAATCAATAAAAATATACATATCTATACTAATAATAGAGAAATATGCAAATTGTTTGAGACGCCGTCACAGTAACGACTGAACAGCAGGCTGGTAGGCTGCGTGGGGTGACAAGACCGGGAGGGGAGTTAGTGAGGGACAACCAAACAACTGAACAGCAGGCTGTGCGGGGT